TACGGTATATTTTTGCTACATTTTGCAACTGTTTTGTACGACTTACAGTATGGTTGAAAACTTTTTTTTTGGAAACGGCCGAAAATTCATGCGCGCGCGGATGTCATCCATATAATCAAATCAACATGGCCTTATATGAGGTGCGGAGTAATGAACATCCCAGCATTTACTTAGATACATTTATAAAAAATAGTATCACTGCCAGAAATAAGACATGGAGTTCAAACACCGACAAGTCATCGTAAGGTTAGTACTCTTTATTGTTTTATTATCTTCAGTTGCGGCATACATACATATTACATGTATACAATTACAGTTATAGCGGCTTCTTGCAAAATTTGCTGTCACAGCGTCGTTTCCATTCACCATGCATCTGTAGCATTCCCACTGCACTCATGTCACCTTACACATTGTCCACAGGACACTCCATATACAGAAGGCCATTATGGTACAAAATGGCAAAAGATATTCATACCCAATATAGTGATTAAACCCGCGACGTGCCTCCCAATACTAGTAAACATTTCTCAGATAACAATAAAACGGTTAACAAAAAAAGTAATCTATGGACAAGTTAGATATCCTTACTCTACATCTATTCCATGTATTCTCTGATATCAACCTGACGTCTACTTCAACTTGAATGTCTATCACGGATCTCAAAAATCGTCTGCATTTACTTCCAAACGTGGTTCACAGAAACAAAGTCTGCAGTAAATAAACAAAGAATCACAGCGTGAACTACAGCTATAGGTTTAATTAACTTCTTGCACCACTTTGTCAACTCAGCAAGTTTTCAGCACACCAATAGAACGTTTCGTTATGTAGCAGTTGTTACATCATGTCGCTAGAGGGCGCCTTTATACTGCAAAGCCCCGCTTTACTGCATGCCAACTTTTTCCTCTCCTCAAATTATAAAGAAATATTGAGACTGAAGCTTTCGCCTTTTTCACAGTCAGTAAATATTCTGGGTGTCAAAAGCGGCTTGGCAGACAATACGCTTTCCTACTATACACATGTGACAATATAACATCATCTTACAGTACACTACAGAGAGCTGTCTCGACATGTTTGTACACTTTCGTCAAATATCGTTACGTTAACTGCGTAGGAAAGAATCCCCCATCTTGTACAACAGAATACACACTTCATTACTACCTTCCTTATTCCCAGCTGACGGCCCTGTTCCAATGTGCAAAGGTATGAAAATCTGGTTTACACAAACATTACGTTCAAAGGTCTTACATGGTGAACTTGTCTACTTTAACTCAATCATCTTGAGATACAATTGACATCACGGCCACAAAAATATCACCATGCTGTATTGAACTGCGTGATACATACAAACAAGCCATTTTCCACAAGAACTTCACAGAAGCTGACGTCGTTTTCCAGCGATCTGCATAATTGAGTAGTTAGTTGAAAGCTATTGTGTTGTCGTTACTTTGACTCTACGATATTGATTGGTCCAGCATTGCAAGCAGCACAAGTTAGCACATGGAGTTTCCTACGCACCAGAAATAGACTTTTGTCTTGTATACTACTACTTCTCAACAGTGATAGCCGATGGGAGCTGTCATACACGCATGAAGTGAATAATGACTAGAAGTGCAGGATATGACCAATGACAAGATGGTAAAATCCTTGGCTGACGTGACCAATGAGAATGAGCGTGGTTGATGTCGTAGCTCAGACTAAGTCAAATTCAACCAATGAGATTCAGAAGTCACACATACACCAATCACAGATTGACCTAGTCTGTACTCATCGGGGTCATAGGCGTGCTCCTGATGGTGTGATGGGCCTCGCTGGGGTTCGGCGGCAGGCCAGGATACCACACTCTGGCCGCCGAGTCGATCTTGATCTCCTCGACGGTACACACTTTCCTCAGCATCTCTATCCTCTCGTCGTACTTGAGTGGTCCCTTGTAGCTGTAGTCGATGATCTGAAGGCTTTTGACCGTGTTGTTCCTCTCAGCCAGCCGAGACAAGATATCTTTGACAGACTCAACGACGTCGTTTTCATTGCAAGCGGCGATGACTAGTTTCCCTACCGTTTGATTTTCATTCAGGGCCTCTGTCAGCGTGTCGCAATTTTGGTCATATTTCTCGGTCCAAACGCCGAAACGGAATTCTTTGACGTCAATGTTGTTTTGTTTAAGGACGCAGGCGAGGCCCTGGAGGGTTGGGGATGAGACGCCCTCTATGATTGGATGGCTTTCTGTGAGGAGACTGGGGAGGGAGGGTGCAACAATTGTTGAGTACATGTCCTGCAGTTCTGCCTCAAACAAAGTATCGAGACTCAGCCTGTACTGGCCGACGTCTGAGTAGGTGGACTTTCTGGTGGTGTTGTACTCTGAAAGGGCCTTGAAAAGAGGGATGAGATCTCGAGGCTGCTGCTTGAGGGCACCAGGTAGGAACAGGACAATGTCCCGCCATACCCGGTCCTTCACCAGCTTGGGGTAGGTAGGACTTCGCAAGCGCTCGGACATCTCGGAGAGGTACTGAGCGGCGAAGAACTCCTGGAAGGCCTTGTGCGGGAAGCGGTAATACTCGTGTCGCTTGGTCCGGGCGATGGAGTGCTCCTCTAACAGGAGACCCATCTGCAGGACCCGGGGGTCTCTTACCTTGTGCAGCACCAGAGGTTTGTCAAACAGAACCCTGTTGTTCGTCACACCGTTGTAGGCAAGTTCGCCAAGAGCGCGGTAGTAGGACCTAAACTGGGCGGGGACATCTGAAGGTTTAGCGGGGAGGGGGACGCCCTGTTTAAGGCAATACCGCCTGGTGACTACAATCTTAAGCCTATCGTAGAGAGACGACTTTGTGCTTGGGATATCGCCGTCTGTGTCTTCCCACAGAGCACATAGGTAGGCATTACAGAGTGGGTAGGCCGCGAGTTGCTGTAGGTTCTTATCTCTTCTCAAGGCAGCGACAAGGTTTTCCGTGACGTCAGGAGCGTGCTCCGTGTTAGGAGACGTCACGTGGAAGTGCTTGTTCACGAAGTCCGCCGACTTCTCCTGGTTAAAACCTTCCACTTTCAGCTGTTTGTCAACAGAGCGAGAGATTTCTTTCGTGCTCTCGGGGCGGGAGGTGATGACTAGAGTGGACTGGGGAAGGATTTTCTTACTTATGAGATCCCCAACATCGGACTTTACTGAAGTATCTATCTCGTCATAGCCGTCTACAATGAAAAGGACGTCGCTCTGATTGTCTTCCACAAATTTCCACAGATTTTCAGGCGAATCGTTGAAGCCCTGTGAGAGTAGCTGCTCGGCCATCGCGTTCTTCAGGTCGCCCCCAAGATGACGTCCTTCAATAAGGAAGGTGTACTTGAACTTCTTGATGGTGCCGGTCTCGTTTTCTGGGTTGGACCAATCGTAGGCCAGTTTGCGGCAGAGCGTGCTCTTCCCTATTCCCGGCTGGCCGCGGATAAGGATTCGCTTGGGAGGCTCGCCCTTCTTGCCCCGGATGTTGGTAAGAGGGTCGAAGATTTCGTCAATGCGGATGGTCTTGCCAGCGTCCGGGGTTCTAGAGAGAGAGAGGGGGACAAGAAAATAAAATCACTCATATTGCCAACATAGCACGCGCGAGCATGCAGGACAGGGACGTGCCAAACTGTGATACTATCATCAATCACGTAACAACCTGGAACTTAGTGACTGATATTCTGGAGTCAGCTGAAATTTTCTACGCTTCATCAATGACATCTCCAAACGTCTTGTCGAGGATTGAGCAAGACGGCGTTTGACATAGACAAAAGTGTTGGGAAATTGAAGTTAATACAGGACTGTGGTATCAATCATGGGAATGTTTTCTTCTCCCCCATATAGTTTTTGAATATGTGTGCTGACAACATGCGCCAGTCACACTTGGAAGGAAGTCCGCTGATGAAAGGGTTTTAGATTCTGTCAACGATGACGTAAGAAATATCACTGACCTAGTCATTCACAAAACGGAACATCTGACTAACCAATACGGGAGAACGATCGACAGTATATTCGGGAACGCCCAGTGAATTGTAAAGTGGACCATCAATGATGCATTAACCATGGCTGTGAACCTGAAGCGAGACGGTCTAAATTTGATTGCGGCAAATTAAACATTAATGCCAGAGCTCTCCGTGGAGTAAGGCTCGACGGAGTCGGAAATTTTGTCCCAGACCAGACGGCACCAATGTCAGGGGGGATTTTCCCAACTCTATGTTAGGGCGCTTCAAATGATAGCTTGGTCGCTGTGGACTAGAGGGATCTATATTAAGGGGGAGTCACCACACGAGGTCGAACCAACTGGAAAGGGTTATAAAAAAAAAAAGAAAATACACTTCATGATCCAGGTTCAATAAAGTATGTTGATTTGATTACATTTCACCAGGGGCGGGTAGGGTGCGTCAGAACGGTCCTTCAATGCATAACATTGCTATTGTATCAATTTGTTATATCGCCTCCAGCAACATCGGTAATGTATATTTATTTATTCCTCTTATAACCTACACTGACAAATCAATAGTGACCAGTAAAGTTAAGTTAGCAATAAGTCATTGAATAATGCAGGCAAGTTGTCGTATGGTAGATTTTAGACATACTAATGTTAATCAAGCTAGTTGTTTGATATGGAACATCCATATAGAAAACACATCCATCGTGCATCCCTACAGTTTAAAATTTAAACTATAAGATGAATATCACTACTCGTTACGGAAAGACTGCAAACCCACATAGCCGAACCATACACAGGTTTGCCTCCGCATGCCATACGGGTGTTATTTTGTTTCGATGTTTTGTCGTTTCTGCCACTAACACAGAAGTAGGACAGTTGTGATGCTGTCCTGTCTAATTCTTTCCTTCGCTACCGCATCACTTTAATTGTACACGTCAATGTTAATGAGGTTAACGGTTTATCTCTGTCATGAAAGACCATGCCCAAAGTGGTACACCGAGTTACCTAGGCCGTCCTTCCGTGCCGGAAACACGTTTTTGTTGCCGGGGTGTTCTAAGGGCGCTGGGTATAGACACCAGGTGGGGAGGGGGGTATCGGTGGGGGAAAATAGGGCGAAGAAAGAAATAAAGAGAATGATACGTGAACGTGATGATAGCAAAAAATGATACAGAACGGTTATCATGTGCAGAAGGAATGAAATTATGTGCAGGTATATTGAAGAGGGTCTATTCATGCGTATATATAGACTTGGTTAAATATAATCCATATACTTAAAATGACTTAAAATGATTGAACATGCGAAAAAAACAAGCAAATAGCTTGGTTGCAAGATGCTAACATGCATTTACATTGGCTTTGCCTTGTTCTTCAGGCTTTTCATGGACCTACTCAACGCCTTTGACTATAGACAACCTGTATCTGTGTTAAATGACGGGCATTTGAGAATCTTTCTGCTGTACCGATTTAGATGTGCAAAAGACAACTAACATCATACCTGATGTTATGAACAAGTAACCGTCACCATTACAGATTGAAGGGTTGAGATATCGTTGGGTACATCCCATCAGAAAGAAAGTTGACATAAAGAAAAAAAGAGAAGCAAAAAGTAAGACACCACAGAAAATTATAATCTGCAACTGAGAATACTATTCCGGTACTAATTATGATAATAGCAATACTAATCAATTATAGTAATAAATCATACTAATAAATCATACAGATATCATAATAATAAATTGTGCGTGGCAACCTACATGTAAGATAAATGAGGAAGTAAATCGTATAAGGAAAACGTCGCATATTACTTCACGCCCCTAGTACTATTGCGCGTTGAATACCAAGTACGTTAATAAAGTCACAGCTTCTGGCTGTCAAACATTTAAGGTGTATGTGCCTTCGAATGTAAAACGATAAAACGCTACAGTTCCGTGGTTATAAACCAAGTTAGCGTGGTGAATATAACACCGGACTGGCGGCGGTTTTCTATCCCATGAGACACCCCAGACATGTCGGACATCCCGGCGACAACACCGTCTCGTATTAGGTTACCGGGAACAATAACTGTCTCATCTGACTATTGGAAATGTACATAGAAATATTAAAATTGACCTTCAGAGTGGGGAATCTAGGACACTGACGTTATAACATTTATCTGAAGGTGATGTGTCTGGAAGGAGACAGTACCGCATGCTAATAACCTTGTTGGCATCCCTGTGGGCATTGCAATTTTGCAGTAACGGAAGCCATCATGGCAGCCAGCAGCGCTTGATTACTTCAGCTGCAGCCTTTTGGATATACTCAATAATGAGTACTCTTGTATTTCAAGTAAGGCTTAGAGTCAATTATCTACAAAACAAGTCGTAGTCCCGCTCAACTTTCTGATGAATATAACAAAACCATTCCGTAGTTGGCGCCGACTGTTAGTTCTCACGTTGACATTGGATGAAGGTGAAAATACTATTCCCGGAGGTTCCCTTACCTCATAAATAACCCCCGTAGTCTAAGTAGTACCTAGTGTGGCCGTGCATTCTAATAAGCCCCATGTAATGATACAGTCTGCATGCCCAGAATACACGTTTCAATGGTCGATGATTGTGTGGGCCCAGAAAAGGCATTTTTGTGAACCATTCCCACATGCTAAAGTCATTTTCTTCTTTCGAAAACGAATTATTCCTTCATTACTCTTTCGCTAGCTGTTAGATTAACAGGAACGCATTGCTAGTCTAAGTACAGGGGAAGGCAACATCTAGAATGTTTTATTAAGGAAAAGGCCATAGTGTCCTTGCAGGTTTGAAATAAATACCAGCTGACAGTTTCCCGGCTAAAGTAACTCGTCACTTTTAGGTACAATACAGATCAGATCTGATCCTGAACATACAGGGGCATTCTCCATATCATCCAGTAATCGATGGTGTCACGTCCTACCGTGTGATCCTACACTACGGGACACGTACTTAGCTCAGCTTTATCACTCCTTCCGTCGTGAGATTGGGTGGCGGGAAATAGGTCAGTAGGGCACATTCGGTGATAGATAGCCCTGTGTTTGGCAGTATGATTACCAGAAAAGTCATGGATCGATGTTGTTGAACATGATCATGTTCTGTGGTTTGTTGTTGGGGGCACATTCTGCGAGTATTATAAGGAGGAAATGTATAGATGCTAGACGCGAGTAACACCATATACATGCATGAAGTGACGTATGCCTCAATTATTGACCCTGACACGTTCAGACATGGAGGCATTCATATTCGAATCGTGCGTGACCAGCGTACTAAATCCTGTAGCATTATGCCATGCAACCGAACTCGAATTTTGACTCATGTAATAAATAATATAGTTACGAATATCACATAACCCAAAAAATAAACACCCTCTATCTTTTGTTAATGCACACAAACTATGCAAATAAGTATAGCTTACGAAGCTTCGAATGTAAAAGAAAGCAATGGACTGTGCAGTATTCCCCAGATATGATGAACAGAAAGTGATGATATTGAATTAGTGTGTTTGATGTATCTATAGAAACGCAATTTCTGAACACCTAACATCATTGAGATAGATCTTAGATCGTCTGGTTTCAATTAAACAGGCCAGTCGGTAGAGCGGGAAGGCGACGTTTTCACCTTCTCCGTGAGTCGACTTCCAATTATGCCACTATGCGAGAGGACTGTAGGAGCCAATGCAGGTCAGATTCCTCACATTCCGCCGAGACAACTGACAACATGACTGCCGTAAGCAACACTTCACATGTGTGACCTTGGTGGGTAGAATAATACTACATGACGCTGCTGCAGAGTCAAAGGACATTTTTATCTGATACTACCTTACCGTTGATGATGATAATTAGTTTGTCGAGAATGCACGTTACTAACAGCTATCAGTGGCAGTGTCTGTTGTTACGAACCTGATTCTAGGTTGGTTCTCAATGCTCAGATCCATATTGACGTCGTCCAGGTCTACCTTGAAGTCCTCCATCCACGGGATCGGCTGCACGTTGTTGCCAGCCTCTCGGTAGAAGGACTTCAGTTCCTTCTCTTCAGCCTTTAGACAGGGAAGTTAAGAATTAGTTAACAAATAATACCTTTTGGCAACTAAACCGAATGGTGACGTAACTGTATATGGCGTACGATACACGTATTTCAGTGAATATCGATACTTAGTCATGGTTATACATTATTACCAAATCTTATACTAGACCCAATTACCTGCAATGGGTTCTGGGGAGCCGCGTCATCAGTCACACCGTTTGCTTCAGCTGCTTTTTCTTCAGCTGTTTTCTTGGCAACAAGCTCTTCGAGAGCCTTCTTAGCCGATGGTTCAGCTGCCTTCTTAGCCGCTTCTTCAGCCTGTTTCGATGCCTCTTCTTCTGCCCTCCTGGCAGCTTCCTCTTCAGCCTTCTTTTTGGCGGCTTCTTCGGCGGCTCTTTTTGCTGCCTCTTCTTCTTCAGCTCTCTTCTTGGCCGCTGCTTCATCAGCGGCTTTTTTGGCGGCCTCCTCGTCTGCCTTCTTCTTGGCCGCTTCTTCAGCTGCCTTTCTGGCGGCTTCTTCTTCCGCCTTCCTGGCTGCTTCTTCGGCTGCTTTCTTAGCCTCTTCATCAGCCTTTTTCTGTTCCTGTAATGTAATAAATTGTCGAAACTGACACATGATATCGCTAAAGTGTTGTGACACCACCCGTCGCAATGCCAATGGACAGCTCAGCACTAGCACAGTAGCAGGGGATTGTTAGCAGAAAGCCGTTGTGTGCCCGCTAACCTCATAGAAAATAACAACAAACAGCACAGCATCAGGGGGAAAGGGGAGCATGTTAGTGGGAAGTTGAGCATAGGTTATTTGCTATCAAGTACCTCGGCTGCTTTCCTTGCGGCTAGATCTTCCGCAGCTTTTCTTGCAGATTCCTGCGAATAAATAGCACAGCTTACACACACTCCACACAAGCATTGATTCAGAAGCAACAAGAGAAAGGAAAGTCAGAACAAAAACTGGAAAGCCAAGCTTCTGTGACATTATCGACTACCTCCGCTGCTTTTCGAGCGGCATCTTCTTCTGCCTTCTTAGCGGCGAGCTCCTTGTCCGACTTTTTCTTAGAGGCCTCCTGAATATTAAACGACAATGAACACGCTGTAACTTATGTTCTGCTCAAAATGAAAATAAAAATCACAACGCACCCCGATATGGAGACGGTAAAGAAACAAAAAACGTTGGGTAGTCCGCGTTCTATGCTGTATATTGTTTGCCATTGAATAGCACAACTGCACCACAAGAATACGGCACTCAGCAACTACTTCTAAGTACTATACATCTCACGTACGTACACGACACATGACGGACAAAAGCAATGTCACAGACTTCACACCGCGAATATGGAGCAATTTTTGCTACCTGGGCTGCCTTCTTAGCCGCTGCCTCGGCAGCCTTTTTTGCTGCTTTCTCTTCCGCCGCTTTTTTCTTTGCCTCTTCCTGAAAACAGGTATATCAAGACGTGTAGACACACTACAGGGACGTTTAGTGAAAAACGAAAGGCAACCAAATTATCCATTTATCCTCAACACTACGAAGCACTACGCAATTTTGATGTTTTACCTCAGCTGCTTTCTTTGCCGCCTTTTCCTCCGCCTCCTTTTTCTTTTTAGCCTCCTAAACATACAAAAACAAGGAAATCAAATCAAACAATCGTGCCGAAATAAAGAATAAATCCGAGAAACTTAGTAAAATAAAACATGTTACAGATACTACGTAAGTACCTCTGCTGCTTTCTTGGCAGCTTTTTCCTCTGCTTCCTTTTTCTTTGCGGCTTCCTACGTAGACAATAAAAAGAACATATGTCGGGCGATGGCCACAGATAGGGTTGGCAACTACACCATCGTTACGAACACAAACAAAAAGAAGACGAACAAACTGCACCACAAATCAACATATGACAACATCAAACACTCACTGATTGAAGACAGATATCACATGAGAAGGAAAACAGAATATCTGTTATACTTGGTTGTCTCTTTTTATCAACAGAAATAAAATGTTTGTCATTTAAATCGCGTAGATCACCAACTAGTAATAGTACTACCTTGGCAGCCTTCTTAGCGGCTTTCCCGGTCAGCTTAGGTGGCTCAGCCTAGAGTAAGGATTAGACATTATAAGTAAAGCCTTCAAACATCTGAGCTCGATTTAGTCTCTAATGTAGACTAGCTGCTACTGCAATATTGCAATTTTGGATAGAAAATCTGCAGCATCTGCGTAAGCATCTGCCCCATCTCCCTTAGAGATTTAAGCCGGTAGTAAGAAGCAGAAGCGACTTAAAGAAGCGCTACATCTTCTATGCCGTCTTACAAGCGACCTAGCAATAGAAATGCGTGGGGGTTAGCGGGTTCCATGTGTACCTCAACCGCTTTCTTAGCAGCATCTTCCGCTGCGATTTTCGCCGCAAGTTCCTCGGCTGCCTTCTTCTTGGTAGCTTCCTAGATTCAGGAAAAGTAAATACAAAAGAAAAGACTTACAAAACATGAGATATTCAGCGAAGCGCAGCGCAAATTAAGTTAAAACCTGTTTAACTGAAATAAACTAAGTACGATGCGTACGATCGTTTGTAATGTTGACAAAGCGAAACAGAGCGTTATGAGTCAGGAACGTGAAAGCAGCGTCAATCAGTAAATGTAAATGGTTTGAACGTAAACATACATGTATCCGTCGAGGAATGTTAAGTGTAAGGCTGTTAATGTTACATGTATCAAAAATGTTAGTATGCGTTAATACACAATGTGTTCTCCTCTACAATGTGTTAGTACCTCCTCCTCCTTCTTTGCAGCTTCTGCTGCTGCAAGTCTAGCAGACTTTTCTTCTTCGGCTGCCCGTTTCTCCGCCGCTTCCTGTTCTTCTGCGCGCGCCTTAACAGCGACTTCGTCAGCTGCCCCCTTTTGGGCAGCGTCCTAGGGTTGGCGAATGGAAAACAAGGGAGGGGAATCCAAAATTGTAATAAACAAACAAAAAGAAATGAAACAAAATAATATAAACAAAACAGAAGTGTAAACGCACTTGCTTGGATTAACATACTGAAAATCGGAAGTGTGGATGATCTTTCCTTATTGAATGTCGCGTGACTTGATGACTATATTGGCGCCACGATAAGAGATAGTGACGATTGACCCGAGCATGCATTGCCATTATTGACATGCAGTGTCTGTGGTTTACTGGTGCACTAGTGACTTGCTGAAACAGTTACTCGTTCGCCTCTCCTAGCGACCTGCTACGTCCGTGATTGGTTAGGCAATATGACTGACTGACTTCTCCACAACCCACGACCTGTAAAATAACTCAGCTGGAAAAAAAATAAGGATCGTTAGACATGTGTTAGAGCTACTGTTTGTAGGTCAACCATAAGAGAGGCGAACGTGAAACTGATTCAGTAAGTTTTGTTACTTCTATCGGGTACCTCTGGAGTGGCTTCGTCAGCCGCTATCTTAGCTCCAGGTTCTCTACCCTGGTTATCTTCATTCGCTGATTTGCGGGAGAGTTCGTCGTCTGTCCTAGCCTTAGATTTAGACTCCGCCTCTTTATGTAATTCATCGGCAGCCTTTTTGGAAGCGTCCTCTTCTAACTTCCTCTTTGCAGCTTCTTCTGCCGATTTCTTTGCTGCCTCTTCCTCTGCCTGTTTGGCTGATGCAATGGCCGCTTCCTCCTCTGCTTTCCGTTTTGCTGCTTCCTCAGCGGCCTTTCGAGCATCATTCTCTTCGGCCTTCCTCTTGGCAGCTTCCTCTGCAGCTTTCCTAGCGGCCTCCTCTTCGGCTGCTTTTAATGCTGCCAGTCTAGCAGCTTCCTCGTCTGCTTTCCGTTTGGCAGCTTCCTCAGCAGCCCTTCTGGCAGCATCCTCTTCGGCCTTTTTCTTTGCAGCTTCCTCTGCAGCTTTTCTTGCGGCCTCCTCTTCGGCTGCTTTCAAGGCCGCCAGTCTGGTAGCTTCCTCCTCTTCGGCCTTTTTCTTGGCAGCTTCTTCAGCAGCCCTTCTGGCAGCATCCTCTTCGGCGGCCTTTTTCTTTGCAGCTTCCTCTGCAGCTTTTCTTGCGGCCTCCTCTTCGGCTGCTTTCAAGGCAGCCAGTCTGGCAGCTTCCTCCTCTTCGGCCTTCTTCTTGGCAGCTTCCTCGGCAGCTCGTTTGGTCGCCTCTTCCTCTGCCCGTTTGGCTGTTGCAATGGCCGCTTCCTCCTCTGCTTTCCGTTTTGCAGCTTCCTCTGCGGCCTTTTTGGCAGCATCCTCTTCGGCCTTTTTCTTGGCAGCTTCCTCGGCAGCTCGTTTGGCTGCTTCATCCTCCACCTTTTTGGCTGCTGCAATGGCCGCTTCCTCCTCTAGCTCTGCTTTCCGTTTCACAGCTTCCTCAGCGGCCTTTTTGGCAGCATCCTCTTCGGCCTTTTTCTTGGCAGCTTCCTCGGCAGCTAGTCTGGCCGCTTCCTCCTCTGCTTTCCGCTTTGCAGCTTCCTCTGCGGCCTTTCTAGCAGCATCCTCTTCGGCCTTTTTCTTGGCAGCTTCCTCGGCAGCTCGTTTGGCTGCTTCCTCTTCTGCTTTGCGTTTCGCGGCTTCCTCAGCAGCCCTTCTGGTCGCATCTTCTTCGGCCTTCCTTTTGGCAGCTTCCTCTGCAGCTTTTCTTGCAGCCTCATCTTCGGCTGCTTTTAAGGCTGCTAGTCTAGCAGCTTCCTCCTCTGCTTTGCGTTTCGCAGCTTCATCAGCAGCTATTCTGGCCGCTTCCTCCTCGGCCTTTCCCTTTGCAGCTTCCTCTGCAGCTTTTCTAGCAGCCTCTTCCTCGGCTGCTTTTAAGGCTGCTAGTCTAGCAGCTTCCTCGTCTGCTTTCCGTTTGGCAGCTTCCTCAGCGGCCTTTCTAGCAGCATCCTCTTCGGCCGCCCTCTTGGCAGCTTCCTCGGCAGATCGTTTGGCTGCTTCTTCTTCCGCCTTTTTGGCTGCTGCAATGGCCGCTTCCTCGTCCGCTTTGCGTTTCGCGGCTTCCTCAGCGGCCCTTCTGGCCGCATCATCTGCAGCCTTTTTCTTCGCAGCTTCCTCTGCAGCTTCCTCCTCTGCCTTTTTGGCTGCTGCAATGGCCGCCTCCTCGTCTGCTTTGCGTTTCGCAGCTTCCTCAGCGGCCTTTCTAGCAGCATCCTCTTCGGACTTTTTCTTAGCAGCTTCCTCGGCAGCTCGTTTGGCCGCCTCATCCTCTGCCTTTTTGGCTGCTGCAATGGCCGCTTCCTCATCTGCTTTGCGTTTCGCAGCTTCCTCAGCGGCCTTTTTAGCAGCATCTTCATCTGCCTTTTTCCTGGCAGCTTCCTCTGCAGCTTTCCTGGCGGACTCCTCCTCGGCTGCTTTTAATGCTGCCGGTCTGGCAGCTTCGTCCTCTGTTTTGCGTTTCGCAGCTTCCTCGGCAGCTAGTCTAGTCGCCTCTTCCGCCTGTTTGGCTGCTTCAATGGCCGATTCCTCGGCTGCTCTACGTCTTATAGCTTCGTCAGCGTCCTTTTTGGCAGCATCCTCTTCGGCCTTTTTCTTCGCAGCTTCCTCTGCAGCTTTTCTAGTGGCCTCGTCAGTGGCATTTTTGGCAGCATCTTCTTTGGCCCCCCTCTTAGCTGCTCCCTCTGCGTCTCGTCGGGCTGCCTCGTCCTCCGTCGTTTTGGTTGGTCCCATGGCCGCCTCCTCGCCTGCTTTCGGTCTTGCAGCATCCTCTTCTGCCTTTCTCTTGGCAGCTTCCTCGGCAGCTCGTCTGGTTGCCTCTTCCTCCGCCTGTCTGGCTGCTTTTGAGGTCGCTTCCTCCTCTGCTTTCCGTTTTGCAGCTTCGTCAACAGATTTTCTAGCAGCATCCTCTTCGGCTTTTTTCTTATCCGTTTCTTCTGCAGCCTTTCCAGCTGTCTCCTTCTCTGCTTGTTTGGCTGCTACTTTGACCATTCCGTCATCTCCTTTACGTTTTGAGACTTCGTCAACGGCCTTTCCAGAAGCATCCTCTTCTGCCGTTTTCTTGGCAGATTCGTCTGCAGCTTTTCTAGCTGCCGCTGCCTCTGCTGCTATTTTGTCTGCTACTCTTGCAGCTTCTTCCTCTGCTTTGTATTTCGCAGCTTCCTCAATGGCCTTTCTGGCACCATCATCTATTTCCTTTTCAGTTAAATGGGTGAATCACACCAAAGTATGATAAAACATGACAAACAAAATCAACGAAAATTAATGTGATGGCAAAAGACCAGGGTGGAAGATTTGAGTGTAGGGGAGAGAAGCAGAGAAGAGTATAGTGAAGTAGAATAGCATTCGATTGAGAACATTGCAATAGTTTGAACGAAGTAAATGAGACGAGACGATTACAGCTGAAAAGGACTGTAAGGTACTGGTAAGGTAACATTTTAGCTCTGATTGTACTTACCTCTGCTGCCTTCCGAGCAGCTTCATCTACAGGGGATCCTGCTAATGGAGACGCCCCTGTGGCAGCGGCATCGACCTGGTCTGTCTCTGTAGGAGACAGTTTCTTCTCGAGCAGTGGCTCATCCTCTCCAGGTTCCTCCCCACCTGTAGGGTAGACAAACGTCAGCCAAAAGTATAGACGTTCTTGTGTTTGCAACTCAAGATGAAGCAACCACTGACATGTTGACAAACAGCATTTGCAAAGGACATTCCAATTATCTTTCTACACCTACCTCTTTCCGTCCCGTGGTTAGTTTCATCTTGAGTTAGTGAACAGTGACGCGATCTTATACCAGGCATAATGTTTTGCACTGTCAGGGTATAGTTATAAGGTGAAGGAGATGAGCAGTCAACTGCTGCGATTGTTTCCACATTGCATTGGATTCTACTGGATCTCTGGCCAAAGTATTGCATTCAGATCCACAGATATAGACGATGAAATATAACAATACATGCCAACTGTAAGATCGCGTCCACATCGAGTATACACGTCCCAGGTGGCAGCAATGAGCAGCAGTGCAATCACCGTAATCCCGTAAACTATCCCCACCACAAAACCTTAACACCTAGCATGCAGTTTAACAAACTCGGCATGCATTACGGGGTTATTGATGTGGCCATGCTCTAAGACGAGGCGCATATGCAACTAAGGTCCAAGACGAACATAGTGTCCAACGAACAGTAGGGAGACTCCTGTCATGGAAAAAGGTATGGTTTGTGGGGTTAGTAGTGAGTAGGGATAGTTGACGACGGGTACATGACTACGGTGTTTTGAAGTTAAATCGTTTTTGTCCTGGTAGAACTAGACAGAACTCTTTTTACTGTTGATTAGTATCCACTGTAACTGCAATCCCCCATTCCATCGAACGAAACAGGATTTGTCATGTACCTGGCATCAGTATGGCAACAGAAGGAACGACGTGAGGTACATGACACGACAGACGGGAAAGTGTATTGAACTTGGTATTGGAAGTTAAGATAAGGCAGCAGAAAGCAGTGAAACACATGGAAAATCTAGGAAACACGATCCCCTCTGGAATCAAGGCAGGGGAGAAGCAGTGGTTAAGATTCTCTATGATTAAATGAATCTAGGGCCTCTACAGAATGAAGTTTGATAGCGCCGGGTTAACATAGCCATGCCTTTGCCTCTTGCCGAGAAGAGTCGACTTACGAATCACTTCATGATCAGATCGTTCTGTTGTTCGGTCTCCGCTGGCGGTCAAGGAGGCATCAAACTCTTGGACAACGCCAGGAGAGGGGGTTCTCTTAGCTTTCGGTGATTCTTCCCTAGGACTGATAGCACTGTACTCATGTTTACTCCCATATGGAGGACCAGCATCCATCCCTCCGCGGGAGCTTATTTGTTTACCAACAACATTCGTGGAGGAGAGCGGACTAGTCGGCGTTCTATCATTGTAGTCACTCTTTCTATATTCTTGGTCTTTTCCAGCGGCATCTGGAGGGGTGCCAATCATAGAGTCATCCGTTTCTGACTCTCCCGCGCCGCTACTGGCGACATCTGCAGGTGATGAAGGGGTGTATGGTTCGCGATCTGTGGCTATGTCACCTGCGATAGGCGAAGCAAGGTCGGCATTGGCAAGGTCTCGTGCACCGTCTTTGGAATCAGCCTCCCCGTATCGTCGAACCTCTTTCCCTTGGGCAAACTCGGACAGTGGCCCGACTTGTTTCCCAGAGACTGTTTTCTCCTTGGTGGTAGAACGAGTTGGGACAGCGTCATCTTTTCCGGCTGCACCTCCGGTTTTCCGTTCATAGAAGACACCGCCTTCATCATCACGTGTATGCTGCCGCTGGGCCGAAGCATCTGTTGAGGGTTCTTGGTCGTCAGTTTGTAGTTCTGAAAGACGTCGTTCAGCGCTGCTGAGAGCTGCATTTGCCTTAGCCATCATGCTGTCAAGCTCGTCTAATATACTTGGTCGCTTGGAAGGATGTACCTCGTCTGCACCACCTGGCTCTTTGGATGGTTCCTTTGAGGTGATACTTTGAGTTGACTTTCCCGATGCACCCTCAACATCCGGTTTATCAGCTTCCACCGAGGTTGCTCCTTGTTTTCTTGGAGTGCCTTCGATTCTACTGTCGTCAATCTGAAATTCTGTTCCCATTGGTCTACCATAAACTTTGTAGTCATAGACTCGCAAAAGCCTAGTTACTGAGACGCCAGTTTGACAGGCCTTGGAGTTCCTATCACTTGGTCCATAGTCTGGGTGTAGTTCATCTATTGGCCGACCATGAAGGTCAAATGCAAGTTGCTTTAATCCCCTGCCTGTTATGACCCCACTTGCCTGCCTAACATCATGTTCTGAATTAAACGGACCAGTAGGTTGTTCCATGTGCTCTCTCCAAAAGTCGTCTTTGCCCATTGGGCTACTTAAAGCGTCCTCTGGCTTTCTTGGACCTTTCTTTTCATACATTGATAGTTCACCTTGGGCGTATTTTCTTTGATCAATTTTTACGTAGCCGGCAACTGGCCTCCCGTACTGATCGACACTTACTTCTGAACTATCTTTGTCAATCAAGCCATCTCTATCGGGTCGGGCGTCTCCAGAAGCCGATTGGCCGTCCTGTTTGAGTTTGCCTTCTTTAGAGACACTCTCATCCACGATTGGTTTGCCATATTCGTCCACGCCCTGATCGGCTCCCATGCCTCGTTGCAATCTCTGAGAAAATTGTCCTCCTGTTCTGTCAGTGTCACGATCTTCTTCATCAGGAACAGGACCGCCATAATGAGTAACCTTAACTGAAGTTGGCAACAGGTGTTCATCAGCTGATGGTCGTATGCGGCCACGGTCTTGCAGGTCCAGTCTTCCCTCTGTGTAAAACCTTTGGTCGACGTCACCTGCCGGTCGATGTTTAGAAAGACCCCCGACATCGTCCAAACCTGACCTGTCCTCCCTGGACGCCGATTGGTCACGAACATCTCGACTTACCCCATCTTTCGTTCGTGTAGCAGGGAGACCACGTTCCCCGACTTCACCGCCCTGTTTAGAGCCGTCGTCTTCCGGACCAGTAAGCTTCAACGCCCCATGCCGTAGTCCAAGATAGTCTTCAAGTTCTTTGTCATCAAAATCAGTTTGCACAGTCGATTGTGTAAGCAGTAATGGGTGTATTTTCCGTTCAACTCTTACTGTGGTCGTTTGTTTGAGAAGTCGTACTTTTGTGCCTGCAAGTGGTCTGCCATATTCGTCTACGCCATCCCCCTCAAGGGCTTTTTCTGGTTCCCCTTTGTCATGGACGCCAGGAGGGCGGATCTCGGCTGTCAACTGTTGATCCGGTCTTTGCTGGTCTGTACCTTCTATGTCATCCTGGCCGGAGTATTCCCGTTTCTACAGATGTCTCTATCTTTACTAGACCATACTGATCTGGTCTACCTTTCTTTTGTTCATTTTCTATCGGCAGCTGGTCTACCCTCATCTTTCTTTTGTGCATCGTCCTTTGCAGATGGTCTATCCTGACCACTGGTCATTTTGTCTGGTGTTTCATCGTCAGATCTACCATCACGTCGGTCATCATCGTCCACTTTTATTCCCCACGCAACGCGACTGAGTTCAAGTTCATTGAGGTCAGTTTGTGACCCACCAGTACTTTTTTGCGCCGGTCCTTTGTCATGAGGTATGTGCCTACCCGCCGGCTGACGGGTACCATCTGAAGGTGCTTGGTCAGCTTGTTGATCCTTACGTTTCCCTTTATCTGACAAACCCTTTTCAGGTCCAGGCCTTCCCCCGCCAGAAACGTCGTCGTCCAATAGAGAAGCTTCGCCGGAACTTGACGACCGCTTTGGCTGCTTTGCCGGAGAGGTAAATGATGCGTCATAGAATGGCAAACCCTGCTCTCCCCCGGAGGACGGGTAAAACTCTGTCTCTGGTGTGTACCAACTCTCGTCTGATGTACTCAACCCCTGTGCGTCGTCATTCTGTTGGCGCCCTTCTGACTCTAGATAAGCTCGGTAAGTTTCTGCGCTAGGCCTTGGTACTGATGTACTTTCTCCGGATCACTAGGAACCTTGTCGCTGCTTTTTAGCAAAGACTCATCGCTACGACTAACGGGTTCGACAGCGTCGAAGTCTGTCTGTGTTCCGTCGGTTTGCTTCCGAGGGGATGGGCGACCTTCGTCGCCACTTGCGTCACCGACACCTGTGGTAGAACGAAAGTTGGATTCGTACTCGCCGTCGTCATTATCCCAGATGCAAGTTTGACCATGCTGTGGGTTAAGTAGTGCTATCAAACAATCGGAAAGACTAATCATTATTACCATACGGTTATCTGCTATTAGGTACTAATATGGCACTTCAGTTAGACATGTTTGGCACGAAGAGTTATGTTTTATCTGAAAAGAGTAAACATTATTACCATACGGTTATCTGATATTAGGTACTAATATGGCACTTCAGTTAGACATGTTTGGCACGAATCATGTTTTGATCCCGATGGTATAGTTATATATTATTGTCGGCTACCTATGAATGACGCTTTGCTAAAAGTAGTCTCTCACATCCTATATTAGGTACATATGGCATGTGTTGCTTTCGTCACGTTTTATAGCATTCAAGTGGTTGTTAGCAGTTGACATTGTATTTCTGATTTCCCTGACAAATAGAAGATAGAGGGTGGCTAAGAAGGGAGTGGGTTGTGATCCCAAGGGTAAGTGTGGGGTCAGGGAGTCTTACCTTCTCCAGTTTTGTCAATGAGGGGTTTTCCAGCTTCCCCCTCGCCGTTCTCTGGTGGAGCCTCTCCCTTGAACCAAGCTGCTCTCTTCACTCCGCTCACTCGGTATTCGTACGTTTCCCTGGTGATGGTCCTCAGTGTCGTGCCTGGTGGATGGAGGTTCCCGGCGTCGTCCAGCTGAACCCCGCTGTCGTCGGACTGGACAGACGGCACTGCCCCGCCCGTACGAGAGGGGGACGTCTGGCCATTACCAGCCTCGTCCGAGGGCACCCTGCCATCCACCGCGTCTCCTTGGTCGGGTTGCTGTCCCTCCTTTGGACCCTCGGCATCTTCATCCTTCGCTCCTACAGCAATCAGGTAAGACGCCGGTCGGTACTTTGCTGGTCCTTCCCTTACTCGGTAAAAATCGCTACTTTGCGGTCGGGGCTCGGTGGGCCTACTGCCCGGTAAACCACTTTCATCTTTCGGGGAGTAATCATCGACAAATTTGAAATCTTTTAACGGACTAGGACTAAGACTAGGGTCGAGGTCATCGAAGTCGGTCTGTGTTTCGTCGCTTTGTTTGGGGCGTTTGGGGCGTTTGTCCCCGGCAGCCTGTAGAAGAGGCCGGTCCTCCTCTGTGTCAGCGTCGTCAGAAGTCGGCAGGTTAGATCTGTCTGTGACCCTGTAGTTTGCTTCGGAATCTTGCCGTTGCTGGGGAAGCCGGCGTCCCCTGAAAGGAGAAGGAGGAAACCTCCAGCACTCATCGGCTTCAAACCACCACACACCAGTGCTGGTAGTTACTTTAGCTCTCATGCTACACTGTCGGTTGTTGTCTAGAGGTGCTCAATTTACTTTATAAAGTGCATGAAGAATAATCGAGGCTATTGATAGTATTACTCTGCTTTGTGCTTCTACTATACTGGTGTGTACTGCTACTTTATACTGTCTACTTTCATCTGTACGTTTATCTCTGCAAATCAAGGAATTGATAACTTTCAATATCATCACAGGACTAGTCGAGGAGTCATTAGGTATTGATGTCAGGACTTCGAAAGCTTTCGTACTATTCTCAATCATGTCTAGCATTCTTTAAGGTTGTTAGTTATCTCAGTCGTTGTTTAGTGGCTCGATCGTGGTCATGTTTCGCCATCACCAGGAAATGAGCGTGTTCATGTTTTTGCGTTTCTTGGAAATGAATCAAATAATGGGGTGGTAAGGTTGCTGAAAGAACAATAATGTACACGTCACAATGAGGCGTGGTTTGATTGCAGTGCTTTTTGATCTGCTGTAAAGACTAGCAAAAAATACGTATCAACTCAAGGTTAGCCAAATATCACCAAATGTCACCAGCGTAAAAATAACCAATGGCACACGACCACCACGACACAAACAAGACTGACACGTCACAAGTACGGCTCAGACGTCACAGCAGCGTCATCACAATATAACAATAACATACTACACATCACAAAACGATCCTGGTTTCAGTACTCTTATGCATACCTACCATATCCATATCAATCATATCATAAGATAAAAACATCAGTGAATTCATCGCAAATACATACATCCATAATAAAACATAAGTGTTAAGATAACCACACCCATTCTTATCAATAGTGACAAGACAAATGATAGCGTCGTTGAATAATCCAGATTAAAGACATTATTCTTCATGATTAGACAGTAGAAAATATTAATCTGACAGGCTTAACGTTAAAGTGATTAGACGACAATACCAAAACGTAACAAAAAGATTATGATAGGCATGCGACTTTCTCTGGAGTTATGCCAGTGAATTGCTTTCAGACAGGTTTCACAGCTTCTCCATGGAACGTTTAGTTTAAGACTCTTCATTTTGTGAACATGCAGCGTTGGAATTTTGATGAGAGTTTATCTGTTTCGCAGATGTGAAGAGTTTCAGCTCAACTTTAACGGCCTTCCTCTGTTTATACATGTGCATGCTTGTAGGTTGCATACTTCAATGCTGGGTCAAACCAAGGACCTTCTTGGTCAAACGTACAGCGGCTTTATTACTTGTAACCATAACAACGAAACAGCCTGGAGTGCTTTCAAAACACTCCTGTCGGCGGGGATGATTCATAAAGGTGACCCGAAATGCCCGCGCCTGGCATTCTGTAACTTGTTGAGGCACTTCAGGGTATTCTACACGTACGAACTTATTGAAAAGTCATCACATCTCTTCATATAATATGTCCATATATTTGACATTATTACGGTTGTCTGCAAATGCTGTCTTACGTTTTCAGTCTTTCATAGCAAATAGACACCATGATGTTATAATGAAAAGTAAAAATCTAAAGTTTAGGGTCGATGGAAGTTTTCGTCGCCATGATACATGAGTTTGAAGCAACTTTGGCCCATCGGTAACTGAAACCGTGTAATTGTAGTTCGCACTGATATCATTTTGGACGATCCCCTGCTATTCACAAAGATCAATGTATCTACCCTCATGCATTATTTGTTGATCCTTTCATCAATTTGGTTCAAAATTGCGGTGCTTAACTTTCTTAGTCGAATTTGGAATGTTCCCAAATGCTACATTAAGGCTACCCATCATCTTTATGGCTGCTATCTGACGATACATCCATCGCGCTTAGGATCTCTCCCCATACACCAGGGGCCTCCCTGCGTGCCTGTGGTACAACTAGGTTGTGGGGGCTGCTTTTTGGACTTCGACGTCAAACTTAACATTGGGGGCTCATTGAATGAGACGGCATATTTTTGGCTCTAGACAAAGAAAACATTTCTTGAGATCTGTGGGTAAACATTACCGCTGATAATGGAACGTTCTCAACCCTTTGTTTATTGAATCCTAACCACGACCCACATACGTCAACTTTTACTTCAGCAGATTGCCCTAGATCGTTTGCCGCCCTTGCAGATCGGAAAGCAAAACAAATTAAACAGACCAAGCGGCGAAGAGAGATGAGCAATTAGGCACCATCAAATTCTCCCAACCGTGACTCCCTTATGACAGGTTAACTTTGGTACGTGACGACGCATATGAATTTCAGAAGTTCCGACCTGTTTCTTTCGCTGGGATACAAGGAGAGTTTTGAGACATAGAATTTGCAGAGAGTGGCATCCATTTAACTACCGTTAGGTGGTGCACCTGTCTTTTATGAACTGTAATACAACCTGAGAGAGAATTGTCAGTGGGAGTCTGGGACCTCTACTTGTCTGTGAAAACCGACACTGCAGGTCTAGGGATGTACAGTGTGACCTTCATCCATGGACGGAGATGGCAAACATGCACCTGCGTACATTACCCCAGGGGAAAACAGTCCCAGCTTATTGCATCTGAGCTATCGTTTCCTATCTATTCCCAATTTGCAGGCTCTTTTCTCTAGATTGGGTATATATTATCTAATAATGCCAAAGGAATTGAGTATTCTATCCACGAAACTGAGCACACAATTCATGCTTAATTTCCCCCCCTAGTGTAAGTCATCAATACAGTTTCCGATGCTGTTGTATGTATGGATGCAAATTTTTGCTACGGTTTTAGGAACTGCCTCAGATGCCCTAGTTTGCAAGCGCTGATGCCACCCCATGTATAAACATTGAAATGTCCCTTATTTCTGCAACGTCCCATCGCCTGGTTGTTAAATGTCACGCGCGTGTGTGGATTGCAAGACTGTTCCAACATGGAATACCTCCTGTCTGGGTCTATAGGTTAGACACACGTCACATCACTTTGTAACAATCCGCAAACGTCAAACCAACTTTGATCACTAGACTTCCACAGAATCTAGCAAGGAGTATAACTATTTACACTCATATTTACAGTGCTTCCGTGTGCGTAACTGAGTGATAAAAACATGCAGATTTGTAGTTTGATTGAATTGCATATGCAAGTTATGTTAGAATATATCAGGGAGACGATTATGGAGATCGAATATAGCGCACGCACGTTGCTTTAAACAGGTAATTTAGGATTCAGAGAGCGTCCCACGGCGTCCCTCGGGACGTGGCGTGACGTTCCACGGCGCACCATAACGGGAGATCTATGGGCTGCAATCATCAAAATCGGTGATGCACAGATTTGCACGAGATCTAATGACGGCGAACTGTGTTTTAAATGATTTTTCAGTTACCCTAAAATACGCGGCATCTCTTCCCGATACGCCTTTCTATGATCATCCTCCGTAATCGTCGTTATTATTATCTTCAATGTCATACATCAACAACCAAACTGAAAATAGTTGTTACTCTCCCGCTGTTCCAGACGACAGAGGAATTCGCTCATAAAATAGGCGCGAAATTCTCTCAAGGGAGAACGATGTTTAATCAATAAATCGTGATTCTTTTTTTTCGCCAAAGGTCGCTCACGCCATGTTGAAATCGGATATCGCAAACCTTGCCACGCTTCCAAAGAGCACCGTTTTTGACACAATGCTATATTTCTCGAATCGTGGCCTATCAAATACCTGTATTTTCTCGATTTTGGTAGGATCAAGACATCACGGGTATTGTTAAATGCTTTTGATAACATCTACGACATTGACGGATGGATCTGCTTGATAGAAATCCACATCGATATATAGAAGCATGGCCGCCTTTCATCCACATCATAATCAAACAGCACATGACCATGCATAATGCTGCGCACCTCAGGGCCAAATCAGTGCGCGGCAGTACCATTTCGTCGCACCGTGGCTGATTTTGTGACTACAATGTTTTAAATTGTGTGCCCTTTTTTTTGACAGCATATTTTCATATTGTTACCGTGACCGTCACGTCATCACGGCTTCGCCCTTTGTGTGCCAATTCTTTTAAAAAAAGGGCAACATACAGCTGTAGGTTGACAAAAAGGCTACAGAATGGTGGCTAGCCTTTAGATTTTTTTTACAAATTTCACTGTCAAGGCTGAAAGATCATCGTTGCAGTGCCCCATCTACTACTACTTCTTCGAACTGATTTAGAGTCTGTTGGACAGGAACGTCCGTTGTAATTCGTTTTCTGGGGTTTTTAAATTTACCACCTTGCAAAGGTCAAAATCTTTCCGCTACGTCGAGCACTTGGACGTCTTCCAATCCTGCATGGTCGATAAGGGTCAGCGGATAGGCGGATTGAATTTTTCTAATACAGCGCATTTGTCTACTTTTCGTATTCTAAAAGTGTTTGTCGCAACAAAGCCACAATCTTGGTATAAGAAACGTCTTGCCTACACATTTCTTGCAGCAGTTGCTTTTAAAATCTACAAATTAATTCAACAAAAATCTACTAATCTGTTGGATGAAAGTACTAACTGCAGACGATTGTTTTCAATCGGCATCACTACCAATAATGCCTCGGGACAAAAGCACATCGTTTAAGAGTAATCAATTAATCGGCAAGCTGCGCAGTATGATTGGTTGAAATTACGAATCGTTTTGTTCTTATCTACAATCAACTGTACCATGTTAAAATGGGTTTTTAGATTGTATGCCCACTACTACTGCCAAATGATGTGGGCATCAATGTTAATTTCCCTTAGGTTTACAATAAAATAAAGCGCATTGCGTGCTATTTCGGTTTATAAGGTTGAGTTAGATGGCGCCAACCTTCTACCATCTAGACGACTTTTCATTCCCTTGCTATCCTATTATCCTTCCCATTTGTTCGTATCACATGAATTATCGATAAGATCCGCTCCACCATCTCTAGGTCTTTGCCGTGGATAATCAAATAACTGCCAAAAACCATTTAACGTCGGCTGGACAAGAGTCAAAACCCTATCTATCTTTAAGAAAGAATATTAAGAAAATATGAACTCTCCTCGACAGTCATACATTTATAGATGGTTTGCAATTTAGAAAACGTCTGTCTACATTTTAGCAACTTCTCATGACATAACGGTAGAAACAAAATGTGTCAAAAAAACTAGTACCTTCTGCGGGCTTCTTGACGTCCCCGTCCGGAGGTTCGCCAATGGGCCCGTCCGTCGGAATCTTGCGTCCGTCATCATCCGTCAGCGGGATTTTTTCCTCCGCAGTATCGGGGACGCCATCTTTGGGCTCTTCTCCGTCTTCTCTCGGCTTGATCTCGTACCAGTCATCACCCTCCTTCCCTGGGGGTGGAAAGATGCACCGTGAATATTACAGGATGCGAAATGACAGGAACTCATATATGTACAAAAATATACTTAGTCTGATATCCCGCAATATTAGCTGGAGCTGCTCAAGCGATGCGGATTGATAATATGAAAATATATATATACGTCTGTCTGTATTAATCTTTGCTTCTAAAATGCTTATCTACTTGAAATGCGTAAGCGTCTCAAATTATCAAAAATGGCGATTGGTATAATCTTCATAACAAATTAAGTCTGCGAAGGCAGAACCATATCTACGATTTCACAAACCTATCCACGAAACAAAAATGGCGATGTGCAAGCCGGCATTTTATCATGACGACGTCCGTCCTTTTATGCCAAGCAATCGCCAATTGTTGTTGAAAATTTTGGCGAATTTGCATTTAACCTAATTATTCCGTAATCACAGCACAAATCATCTTTCACATTATTTTCAGATGCATATTTAGAGAAAGGGGTGCATGACCTTGTTATAGGCAAATTGAACTTGACCTCGTTTTTCTATAACACACATCTTTAGTTCGATCATGTGTAAATTGTTATAACTTAAGGGGGACAACAAAACCGGTTAACTCATCGGATGACCAGTTGTTAAACCAGGACCATAATTGGTACAGTGGGAGGTGAAGAATGGCCTATTCCCTCCGGATAATTGGACCATTACAATCCAGGTCAGCTATCGGGTGGGCATGATTTGATTTCAACAGCTTGTTTTATTGCCCTCCCCTCTCTACACCTGCGTTCTCAACATAAAATATTGCAAACAAATTCCATACATTCCGCTTGGAATAAATTGTGTGGTGTTAATAAACTTATTGATTTTATGAGAAGCATTTTATTACATGTTGTTGGCCATACCGGGATATCACATTTTTCCACCACGAAAACAACAACTTGAATTCTGCTTGAACAACATGGCCAGTAATGCCAGTAGACCCAACGTTTTTGTATATTTGAATTTTACGGTCACTTTGGGAAGGGATCAGTATTCCAGACGTGTACGTGCTCAGGGTAGGCCATCAGGGGCGTTCCGTTTCTACATCCATTATGCAAGAAGAGGGGAGGCAACGCTGGCCATAACCAGAATATTGTGGAGAACGGCGACTGGTGTATGTAAGAGCGGTACCATATGTTCTGTTAGAATGGCTCGACGTCTAGTTAGAAACACGATGACGACAAAGTAGGCTCTGGGGTGACAGAAAAATTTTGCGACACACTTTCTAGAAACTCTACACGCTTCCAGATAGTGTGGCTGTCTGGCTGTATGTAACCCCGCTGCCCTTATTAATTACTTTATCGCAACTGTCGACTCCATTCAGGCAGCACATTGTACCCTTGTCAAGTTGGTAATCATATCGGCTCAAAGTCCAGACGTCACTTGTTTGAAAACCAGTCTACTACCTAGAGATAGGGTGTGACCTCAATACCGCAGCACGCAGCAACAGTACAGTTGTTGTATAATCTTATTGCAAACTAGCTAGCTTATTATAGAAATGGACAACGTGGGGAAAATTGGTTTGTATTTCATTGTGATTTCTAGATGTTTTATCAACCAATGGATATGGCGTCAGCTATACACTTGACAGTGGTAATTAGATTGGAAAATGCAACATACCAAAACCACAGTCTGACCGCTAACATAACATTTCTTTGCAGAAAACGACAGGCTATGCTGAAATATTAGATTTGTCTGAGACAGAATTTATGAAAGATGGCGAGTCGAACAGGTAGTGCGATAACAACTACTTTTATGTGGTGTGCAAACAGACCACTCGAAATGACCGAGTGTCAAGGTACGCTACCTACCGTGCTTTTTTAAGGGCTACCAACGGCTAACGGGGTAAAATTTAACCCACTCTTTCAAACACCAAGCAAAGGTCATGCGGGCACGGCAACTATGCCTATCAATGAAGACCAGACTAATCCGAAGTTCGGCAAAAACACCGTTACGTCATGTCCCAGAAGTGGGAGGGCGATCAGAGGATGACCTAGACATGCTAGTGGTGCGCTATTCGGCAAACAAGGACGGGGCAAACCGTCAACGTGGTGGGACTTTGACCTTGTCTATCCCGTCGGAAGAAGAGCCATAGTAGCACGGAGGCGCTAAGAACGCTCCCTCCATAAGCCAAAACCTTGAGAAGCCAACCAAGTAGGCTGGCCCGCAGCCTGTCTGATGGCATCTCAAGACCGCAGGCTGCAGAGAACGTCCACTTGTTCCCCGTTCAGCTATGGACGACGCCTTTGGGGGCGTGGTCAAACTAACAGAAAGGTCGCATAGCTCCAAAGAGATTGACAGCGCAGCCAGACCGTTTGTATATTGGAAACAGCAGGCGGATGTACCCAAAATGGTGGGAAGGCTGCCAAAAATTGAGAACACAACCTTTTCGGTTGCCTACCGAGAATGATTCACCATATGACTTGCACCATAAAATGAAAATATTGAATTTTCTTGCATACATCAGTAGAAGATTCCCAGAGGATACAGGGGTCTGTACTATGTCGACATGCTCTGTACCGTATCAACTTGTCAGCATTATAGGTTCAATATTATGGTGTTCTAATGCATTGGAGTGTGCGAGTTCTAGAAAAACATCCAGTGTCATGATTGCACTACCACACTCACACAGGTCGGGGTAGTCCATTGCTGCAGAGCGCTCGAGCAGAATCACAACACACAAAACAACACCTGGTGCATCATGATGAATGCTTACCTTTAGGAGGTCTTCCCACACACCGACAGCAAGCACAGCATTTACAACACTTGTTTCCCATCTCTCACAAGCCGTTTCCCTGCGAAAATAAATTACAAAAGATCAACCGTTAGCTAGCTAGACAAGCCGTGCATAGCCTGGTTCGTGCAGCCCGCTATCTGGTATGTTGCGAGTTCGGAGGTGACACTAAATCACCAAGAATGACAAGCGTCCATCCCTTTCCCGCCATTACGGTCAGCTCTGGTGTCCGGGAATAAATTCCGCGCATACAGAAGAGGGCAGTGTTGGGTGAACAAACCTCGAACAGTGTCAGCTCTCCTGACACATTATACTCGTCCACTTAAGCCTTCTTTGTCGGTCATGTCGTGACGTAAATATCAAACGACACAGAATCTATACACACACCGAACAACCGCCACGGTCTACGCGGTAGAGGAGCATCTTACCTTCGAGGAAAAGGTTCCCTCTCCAGTCAAAACCAAATCTGGGATATATCCGATTTTTGCAATGTGATCGCAGACAGTATCCTGTTACCATGTGGCCCGTAACGATGTATTTTTCCCCACACTGGCTGGTCAGCCGCCCTTCCCTCTCCAAGCGTGGCACACAGAGGCAGCGAGATGTTTGCTTGTATGACGGTACTGCATGCAATGAAAAGTGGACGATCGATCGCGGATATGTCGCACAGCCAAGCCCCGGTAGGTCGAACCGCTCCTGCGCTGTATCAACCGGCAGACGTAATTTTATTTACATCCATGGGGAGGTGCCCGTGACCGGTTCAAGGCTAATCGGCATGGACGTGACTTTGTGGACTGTTTACGGGTTTTGAAGTGGCAGAGACAACGTATCTTTCTTGACGTGTGCTCAACACTGTATCGAATCTCACGCGTAGCTTAAGGGGCCTTGAGTGAAATCCCACCTGCCTGTGTGTACCTCAGGTACTACAAACAAAATATACCGTCAAAGGTGACGGGTCAACGACCTCTGCATGGACATCACCAACCGTGTCTGTTGTCTACATGTCGAGCTGAACAATCCTCCATCGTAATCCGTCAACACAACAAGAGGGACGACACTTCGTAGTCCTCCTTCTGGAGTGTGGCTTGCAAAATAACCACGGCGCCTGTTTGCTAATGTCACGGAGGTCAGAGGGGAGGAGGACACGTTGCCAGGCTAAGTTCCAGATGTCGGGGAAGAGAGTTCTATGGGAATCCTATGGGGCTGAATAGTGTAACGTTACTGTTGTGGTTTTTGCTGAGAGGCGGTTTTGACTGACGGAAAGAACACATTTCAGGCATGGCGGCATCTACTCGCGATTTTTTCATGGTTGATCAACAGCATATATTCAGATCCCTTCAGGAAGCTCAGTGAGTCCGCGACTTTGGAAATTTTCTGGACTTAAGACCAAGCTTGTGTTGTATGATGGCTTCTACCCTGGGCTTCGAATTGGGGAGACTTCCGTCTGAAATAATTGACTTTGAAGGTGACCGGAACGGAATGATCTGAATAGAGCAATGTCCAAATCAAAGTTATCGGAATATAGATACGATTGTCCATGGTTATTTTAAAAGGGCGACGTCTTTTAAGAATTAACTCATTCTTTCCAAGTGTCCATTCCATCTCAACAGCGTCAGAATCATATATCATCGTGGGAAATTAAACATTAGATATCAAACTGCCCCCACGCGTCCATTGCCTAACTGCCCTCTGCTCTGTATTATATAAATCTAACTGCCCTCTCTACCCAAGAGGATAGGTCAATTACTTCTCCGATGTTTTCGCAAACAGATCGCGTTCATTCATTCTTCCCGGCACCACAGAACAAGTGCAACCGGGAGCAAATTTTACTATTTACTTTACTATACAAATTTGGCTTTTACTTGACGATAATACTATAAGACAATGACGTTGTAGGGTATGGGTTCAACCGTCATTATTTGCAACTGCAGCAAATGTTTTTTTCTGAGCGTGAGAGACTACAGAATTCGAACTTTTACTTGTGTAACAATTATTTGGAGAACTTTGCTTAATCATTGATGAAGGTAGCACAAAAATAGCTCATATTGACTGAAAGCGAAAGGGCAGTGTGCCAAAACTCTAAGATGATAAAATTAATAGTAGAAGGAGGTAAAAGACACATTTTAAGCACTCATCTTGCTTTCTAGATCAGATATCCACATGTATGTCTGAGTTGCAGCAGGGCGTGTGCACAATGCTCAGCAGACCACGGCCTTGACATTTGTATTACCTTTCGGCTTGGCTGCGAATTCACGGCATTGTGCGTGATGTGAGGATTTTGTTTCACCTTAGATCAAACACTCAAAAGTAAAGACTCCGAAGGCAGTGTGCTTGTAATATCATGAGTGAAGTGCCTACTTTTTTTGTCAAGCACTGTGCCGAGAATATATATATGCAGATTTTATGCACTGCCTATAGAAGATCACAAGAAGACACAGGATACATGGACACAGCATCCTTTAAGGTTTGATTTGGCAACACTACAAAAAGCCTTTCGAGGGCGGGGTTGACTTCGCCAGCCAAGCGATCTACAGATGGCTGCCTTCAGTTAGCAAATAAAGGAGGCATCCACAGAAACTAAGAAGTACATATATTCCATTTCAGATGAAAGTCTTGGAAGTGTACCGATCGTTTTAACGAAAACAGAACATCTTGATTCTTGACACAAAGTTACAGCAGTTTAATACTAGTTACCTCTGAAACGCCTGGTATCTACCATCTGTCCCTCTGGGCCAATATCTTGTGCCGAGCCGAAACCGTAAAGCATGCCTGGCAGCTGACCCTTTTGACCCGCCGGTTAACGACTCTTGGGTGTGTGATCTTGAAGGAGTATCACGTGAAGAAGTGAGTCATGGAGGAAACTTAAGTCAGGGTGGAGCCCAACTTCACACCCACTCCTTCAATGAACGCTACATTTTTGCAAGCATCCATATAGATCACCGAAGTACATGTAGTTGGCGCTTTACATGAAAACTAAAAGGCAAGAGAAATAGTACACTTCTTTCTGGATGTATATATACATTTCTTCATCGCGGATCTTGTATATTATAAAGTCTAAGACCTCTGAAAAAAATGAATCTAATGGCCTATATATATACACCAGAGTCATGTTTCGGCAACTTTGAGAGAAACATCTCATTTAAGGGACTTGATTGATTTAACGTGATATTTCATTGCCAAGTACATCTCGTATTCCATGTTCATTCTCGTTCGTTAGTCCAGGAAGCGCGTGTCTCTTCACTGATTAGGCGGATCGTGCACGACGGGAGGCCGTCCTGGAAGGGCGTGGGTCTTCCTGCCGTTGGACCGACAAAGGCTTTACAGGCATCTCCAGTCACGGCCAAGTTCAGCCGAGTCATCCCCCACAGAACACTCGGCCAAAGATAGGAGTGATAACAGTGACAATGGTTCTTTTCCTTTGAATAGAAAGTAATCCGTTCCCCCGAAGTAACTAAATACTGATTCTGTGAGAGGCCGATAAGAAAACGCTCTCTACGAGAATTTCAATTGGTTGACGACCACACAAATAGTTTTAAAACCCTCCTCTTTAAATGAAAAAAAATCCACAAACTTGTTTTATTCTGTACACGTGCGTAGCCGTAACCGTGTTCACAGGCTGCACTTATCACCAGTACTGGGCCATGAGGTCGCTAAAAGGACAACTTATACATGTGCATATAATGCTTTCTTACGAGTTTACGACGTCTACAACGTCAAAGTAATGGCTGTATAGATAACTGTGGAAATCCTCTCAATCGTTGTCTATTCCCTCACGCAGAGCTAGGTCTTATCACTAGTACAACAGACGGTACTAAAAGTCCCCGGCCTTCCGTAATATCCATACAACCGGAATGTACTAGTATATATTCAGTCTGATGCCAGGGTTTAAAACGACTACCACTATATCCATTTTTCCAATGGACATATGAAATTTAACGTACGTAAATTTAACTCTACCTATGTACCTGTGACATAGCAGTGAATGTTCTGCAGTGAAAGTGTTTTCATACACGACATCATGGCTTTCATGTTAAGTGTTGGCCGTTTTAAAGACTAGTTAGTAAATTCCCATGAACAACATTCTTGATTGTATCTTTACCTGTAAATCTGCCAGTCCCTATTCATCGCCTGTACACCAACACTTGAGACGTACTGTCACACTTCGGCGCGTCGTGTCATCAAGTGTCTCTACACACGTCTGTCTCGTGACGACTGATTGGCCAGGTAGAGGTCACGTGCTCGCAGTCGCAGACGACAAGATGTGCTCCAGGGAAAGGTACACCTGGATTCAGCCGGGGAGGTAATATCGTGCACAGTTACCTCAGAGGATACGATTTATCTCTCGTTTATCAGTCTGTCATTTTTCAAAGGCTTTCGTCACGTCGCCGCCATGCCCCCGAGGTTAAGGACGATTGTCTTTGTATCATGAAAACAGTGTCTGATAAGATAAGGTGTAACCAGACATATGCATGGCTGACATATTTTCCCACCAGACTGGCGGCAAATGAAAGCACGCATTAGGTACAAGCAAAATAACGGAGTGTATTCTTGGCTATTGAGGTTCAGATAAACAAAAATGCATCTTCACATGGAAGAAACCTACTTCAAAAGGGCCTTCTAATTCTAATCTCAAAGCGAGAAAAAAAGTTTGACCTTCTGACACCAAAGTAAGTCAATTTCAAGGCTGTCTGAAAACATGTCCACCGTTTTATAACGTTGTGTTTCCCAAGCCTTTGGGAATGTGACCTACACATGTAGGGTTTAAGACTCAGGGAAAACACGTCGCTGTTCCGAGCTTACACAAAACAGAAGGAAAATCTACTTACCGATTCTTTCCCACCGTTGGTTGTGCCACCACAATAGCAGATAATTCCTACAAGCCCGGAGAGGCAGATATTATGTGTGTTTTCGATCTACTGATTACTTTCCGAGGGCGGACTTACGTTCAACCATAACAAACATTGACGATCTCTTTCAACCCACTTATCAAATGAAGTGCGTAGAGAACATGTAGTTTAAAAACTTGTACATACCAATCTGTAATTACTACTCATGGTCCCATGGGTTTATGGAAGAATGTGGGCTCTCTCCCTTGTTGTAGCCCTACTGGTGACCGACTCTAATTGAAAAGGTTGTGGAAGTCAAAGCATGTCTTTAGAAAGGACCGATCACGTGGGAAATCTAATTTCTCAGATCACCTTGAGGAAAAAAAGCGGTGGGAAACAATTAAATACGAGTTTCGAAGGTCGTGAAAAATCGTTTAGAAGACAAGAAAGAGAACGCTCTGTAATATTGTTGGTGACTTTGAACGCCTTATTTGGCAGAATAGGATACCGCCTCCAGGAAGATGAAGTAATGAACCGCCCCCACATCCTTCTCTCTGGGAGACGGATAAAGATTTAAGTTCTTGAAAATGGTTGTAGCCAGCAAATGATGATAAAACCAGACATTAGCAACTCCGGTAGGGCGACCCTCTATCTACACCGCCACACAGGCAGGATTTACACGGGAACTTCAGTATCAATTTTCCTCAGGAAGAAAGAAAACACGTCCCACTGCGGATGAATTGTGCAGTTTGGGCACGTTCTGTGCATATAAAACCGTGAGTTAGTGAATTATTGATGCCCGTGAGATTGGAGCAGTCTTGGATGCTGCTGTGTCTGGAGGAAGCGTGCGGTGAGCTGTCTGGGCTTGTAATTGCCTCCAAGTTCAACAGTAGAATGTATACCATAAAGCAGACGAACACTTCCCTTTACGCGTTCCAGTTGGTTTCAACGAAAATAGGAAAAAAAGAAGTGCGCAAAAATCGAATAAAACGCATGAATTCGCTGCTTTGACTAAGGAAAACATGGGCAAGGGTAGCAACATTATTATTCATCCCAATGGCCAATGCAAGTACGGGTAATAAAATTTTACTGCAAGGATTGTGAGCAGCGGCACATTTCTTGATTTTTACATTGATAAATCGGCACGATGCTGTCCGCCTCTGATCACTGTTGATTCCCCACATCTCCATCATCATGCACACTGTATATGCATGGCTACCTATGAATATGAAACAAATTCTAAATAAATGACTCCATCAAGATCCTTACTCGGAGTACGTGCATTCCCTCGGTT